TCCAGAGGACTAAGATAGTGAGCTAGAATTGATTAGACTGTGTTGTGAGACGCTTAGCATGACTGCACTGGAGTAGGTGACGTGGCAGAGATGGTGGAAGATTGTAAATGTGAGATCATGCTTCTGGATGTGGTCAGCACTGTTATTGTAGTGGGCTCATGTCCAAGAAAAGAGTGGTGAATCAGAGTACAACAATATGAGGTGATTGTCAAAGCAACAAGAGGCAAGATAATTGAAATGTGTTTTTAGACAGTGAACAGTCGAAATCTGGAATGCACTGAGATGTAGTGGAGGCTGATTCAATCACTGCTTTGTGGATAATGTTCTAAAAGGCAAAAGGACCTGACCCTGACCTGCTTAGCCAAATGATATTCTTCTGTACAAATTCACTGGCTCAAGTCTTCCGGTTGGAAGAGAGTTGTTGCAGCAATGTACCCTGATGGATGTACTATGGGATTCTTTGGAAGATCCAAGGCATTGACTACGTGGGAATTTCCCAGCAGGAAATTTAAGCACCCAATTGGCAATTTCCCCCTGAAAATGTCTACAGGTCTAAATTAAAGTCTCAGACTTCAGACGGTTTTGAATTATTTACCTGAGCAATTATCCAGGAAAAGTTACAGGAGAGGGTATAAAAGAGGAGGTGCTGTTGCATTATTAATGAAGTGGTCAGTTACTACAGTAAGGAGGAACAATATCTTGGAAGGGTCTTCAAATGGGGATTTTTTTTGGGTAGAGCTCTGGAAAAAAAATAAGGTAGACACACTGTTAGGATTGTATTATAGGCCCCCAAACAGCCAGCGAGCAACACTGGAGTTGATATGTTGACAATTCACTGAAGTGTATAAAAATAACAATAGGGTAAGTTTATTACGGGATTTCACAGTGGTGGGTGCATTTCAGAGATGGCAACCACAACACAATCTAATGGAAGTTTGTTATGGAAAAGGATAAGGGTGGTTTGCCAAAAAAAAACAATTTTGAATTGGGAAAGATAGATTTTATTAAAATAAGGCAGGATCTGACCAAAATAGATGGGGAACAACTACTGTTGGGAAAATCTACAGTAGAAGAGTGAGGGGCTGGGGTGTGTAAAAAGAGGAAATAGGAAGAATACAGGCCCAATGCATTCCCTCTAGTGAGCTATGCAGGAGCAACAAACTCAAGAAGCCTGGATGTCCAGGGATATTTTGAACTGGATAAGTGGGAAAAGAGAGCATTTTAACAGCTACAAAGGGAACGGATCAGCAGAGGCCTTGATGGAAGAGAGAAAGCACAGAGGGAACTGAAGAAAAAGCAGACGGGGGCATGCAAAGTGCTGGTGGCTACAATTGGTGAGAACCTCAAGATATTCTAGAAGTATATTAAGGAAAAGAGGATAACCAGGGAAAGAGTAGTGCTGATTAGGGACCAAGGTGCAATCTAAGTGTGGAGCTGGATGAGTACAAGTACTTCACATCTGTCTTCACTTTGGAGGAGTACGTAGATACAGAAGTTGGAGAGAGGGAGATTCTTGAGTACATTGAAATACAGAGTGAAGGGGTATTGGAGGTTTTGGCAGGCTTAAAAGTGGACAAATTCTCACTTTCTGGGCTTGGATGAGTTGTATCCCAGGCACCTGCTCCTCTAATTCTTCCAGATGATAGAACCTGCAGGGGTTTGGAAGGTTCTGTTGAAGAACCAAACATCTTTGGACTGTGGAAGGAAACCCATGCAGACATAGGGAGAACATGTAAACTGTACACAGTCATCCAAGGCAGGAATTGAACTCGGTCCCTGGTACTGTGAGGCAGCAGTGCTAACCATTGTGCCACCCTATGTCTTTTCTTGGTTTGTATTTGATGGTTCAAACATCTTGAATCTTGGTGGAGCTGCACTAATCTAGGCAGTCACACTTTTATGACTTGTTCCCTGTGGATTTTGGACAAGTTATTGTGAATCTTGATGTCTGGATACTTTCCACAGAATTACAAAATTCTGTTCTTGAAGTCATAATGTGTTTTTTGTATGCTTGTCCTAGATAAGTTTCTGGTTCGAGGTAATCCCAGAATGGTGATGGCAGAGATAACTGTGATGGCAATACCATTGAATATCAAAGGGTGACGGTTAGATTCTCTCTTGTCGGCGATGATCAATGTCTGGCCAGTTGTCAGGCTCCAATATTACTTGCCCCATTTAGCCCAAGTTTGTTGTCCAGGATTTGTTGCATGTGGGTTTGAATTGCTTCGGTATCTGAGGAGTTGAAAATGATGCTGAATACTATACAGTCAGTGAACATGCTGACTCCTAATATTATGATGTAAAGAAGTTATTGATAAAGCAGCTGAAGTTAGTTGGGCCTGAAACACTACCCTGATGAATGAGGGCTCTTGTGATACAGTGATAGTGTCTCTGTCCCTGAGCCAGGAGGCTTGGGTTTGAGCTCCATCTGCTTCAGAGGTAACACTTCTGAACCGGTTGATTACAAAATATCTACCTGAGGAACACGATAGTTTGATGCCCTGGAGTTGATATGATTGACCTCCAACAGTCTCCATAATCATCCTTTGTGTGAGGCACAAACCCAACCAATGGAAAGATTTCCCTCTGATTCTCATTGACTTTAGTTTTACTTGGACAACACAATACAATAATTGATCCTTGATATCAAGGATCATTCACGTCACCTCTGGAATTTAGCTGCTTGGTCTGTGCTTGCAGCAAATATGCAATGGTGTCTGGAGCTGAGTGGCTCTGCTGGAACCCAAACTGAGTATCAGTGAGTGGGCTATTGCTGTGTACGTGCTGCTTGATATCACTGTTGAAAATTGAGAATAGACTGATGGGGCAGTAATTGGCTGTAGTGGAATGTATCTTGGACAGGACATATCTAGCCAATCATTCACATTCCTGAGTGGATGCCAGAGTTGTAACTGTCGTGTCAGGAGATCAATCTTAACTGAGAATCCAGATTGATTTGAGAGAATTCGTAGAATTAAATTCTGCAAGCACACAAGCAATTAATGCAGCTGGATAAAAGCAGAGGCTAATTTCCCAGCAGTGTTTTGTCTCTGTTGAGAGGTGTTTTTCTTCTCATTAATGAAGTTGCAGACATTCCCACCTCTGGTCCTTGTAATCCCTGCTCACCTTGACTCACTCCCTGTACTTCATGATGCTGTGGCTGTGCCTGGCATGAAGACTTGGTACACCCAGGCAGCTGTTCCATGTGGACCTTTACAAGCTTCCCATGGCAGGCACTAGTGAAACAAGCAGAACACCAGTGAACACCTAAATGGATGCCCCAGCATAATTCTCCATCTAAATTAAATAATACGTGGCAAAAAGTAGATCATCTTTAAACAGACCTTTCTCCTGAGTAACCACTGGCTGCAGAAGGAGTACAAGCTACTGACATCAAGAGACTTCCAACTAAACTTGGCAGCAAGCTGTCAAATAACTAACAAAAACAAAGTTGCTGGAAAAGCTCAGCAGGTCTGGCAGCATCTGTGAAGGAGA